GGATGTGAACGAGGGGATGAGCTATGTATGTTAGATGAGGGTGCATATACTCAGAGCATTGATAATTCATCTACTCGTTCACATGCGTCAGAAGAAGATCGCATTAGCTGAAATTGCAGCAAGTTATAGTTAGGTTTCCTTCTGTAGTAACAGTTGTAACACTGACTAAAAAGGTTTAGAAACTGATAGAGCTACAACGGTTTAAAACTGAAAGAGCTATCTAGTGTTGATAACTGGGTCAGTTTAGTTTATGTTTCATCCTGTAGTAATACTGAATCAATAAGAGATGACTCTTACTGGACCTCTAGGAAGAACAGTTTAGAACTGATAGAGCTATCCAGTATAAATAAAGTTAGTTTAGTTTAGGTTTCCTCTTGTGGTAACACTGCTGGATCAATAAGATAGGACTCTCACTGGACCTCTAGGGAGAACTGTTTAGAACTGATAGAGCTGGGTTATCCAATATTAATAATAAAGTTAGTTTATGTTTCTTCCTGTAGTAACAATGGATCAATAAGAGATGATTCTTACTGGACCTCTAAGAAGAACAGTTTAGAACTGATAGAGCTATCCAGTATAAATAAAGTTAATTTAGTTTGTGTTTCCTCCTGTAGTAACAATGGGTCAATAGCAAATCGTCCTTATTGAACCTCTAGGGAAGTCAGTAGCCCATACTGAAGGAATAAGATTTAGAACTAGTGATAGAGCTAACCTGTACAGATAGACATAGTTTGAAATTTTACGTTTTAGTATAAGCATAAACTTACCCTTAATCGTAATTTTCACGGGGCAGCTCAGCGAAAAGTTTCCAAAGGCACTGCTGTATTCGTAGTTATAGATAACATCATATTTTCCAATTGGGTAACTGCCGTTTCTATTTCTTGCCTCGGGGGGTGAGACAGAACTTAAAGTTACAGGACAATTCGGTTTGGGAATTGTCCATGAAACGAAGGTCGTGTTTGAACCACCGGGGAGTTCAGCATTAACACGAACAACTCCAGGGCATTGGCAAGCTGAAATAATCATAAATAACTTCATTTTTAGTATCTAAACACGCGGGCAACATTGTCAATCAGATAGCTGAGGTCCAGAGCATCCGAAGTTTGTATGTGCTAATCATCCTTTCTAAGGGCGCCTCTGGCATCCACGTTGTGACTCGTATCTGATCAAGGAGCACAGCTACGGTGAAAGAATCATTTAGAATAGAAGAAATATACTCGTAAATAGTTCCATGACCATATTTATCGTTTTAACAAAGCTTTGTAGATCATTTCATGTTTTTATTAATATTTTGGAAATTGTAGCGTGTAAAAGGCCTGAAAAATTTCGAAATCCGCAGTACATACCTATGATGTCAATTTCGATTGGGCATTGTAGTTTCACCACTTTGGTTCCACTCTGATAACCGTACGTATATGTGACTCCATGCCTTCCAACACCAAACTCTAAGGGAGGGCTGAAGCAGGGTGGTTGAACGTCTTGGCTTTTGATTATCGCCTCGCGGCCAGAGGAACATTTAAGACTTGGTTTATTCCAGTTGATTACGGCCTTCCCTCCTTGCGGTGCAAATGCCTTAGTCGTGATGACTCCGGAACATTCGCACCTAGTTTCTGAAAATGAAACTGGAGGGAGTGTCTGGTTTTAAACTCACCTGAGTGGGTTTCTATGTTCTAACACCTTCCCCCCTCCTCACAACTGTTCCTGGTTAGGCCTCTAATAAATGTATATAAATTTCCACTCGATAATTTCCATCTACAATACCCTTCAACTATTTAGTCAATAGAGTGACATGCCAAAAAAAATTTAGATTTTCTTGACCTGAACAAAATTTCAAGTTTCAACGCTAATTTTGCGGAATTTTGTAGAACATTTCCTTGAGAATGATCGAGGAATTAAAGTGCTCATGCATGCACTCGCAGCGAGGAGTTTCGTGCAAGGACTGGATGACAATTTTGACTCTTATTATTCGTTGTGTATTTACTAGAAAATTTACGTGTTATATCTATTGTTCAGTTATAATACGAGACTCAATCTGCTATAAAGGACGGGCACTCGGAAGGCGCGAGTGAGGAG